ATCTTCATGACAGCTACATAAAGTGTAACTCTGCATCTTAATCTCAAATTCTGAGGCTACCTTTGTTTTCTGAGTCATCTGCACTCTCTCTTACACAGTAGGGTAGCAGAATGAGTCATCTAGTTCTAGCTTCTTTCTTCTTTTGGTTTCCATGACCTGTTGTGTTGTCAAATAAGGTTGAAACACTCTCTCTTTGTATGCTGCTTTTGCTAGAAATGTGTAGCTCTGAAATATTATCCCCATTACTGAGACAAAAAAAAAAAAAAAAAAGCCCTGCATTTTCTCCCTGGAAGCCTTAGGAGATGTTTACTTTGGAGTGTGCAGAGGAACAGATCAGGGCTTGTGAACATAAATGTCTCAATAAGAGATGAGCAGTAGGCTTTGTATCCCCAGAGGTTCTGCTTTAACTCTATCAACCAATTAGCATGCTTATAATTTGGCAACAACTCTCCATTCTCATTAGTGGTGTAAATGCCTACTGGCTCATGTTTCCAGGCTTCGCATTTCTTATCCCTGAAGTTTTCTCTCCCAAGACAGCTTTTCATTCTCTATCCAAGCCTCTGCTTAACTGCAGGCAAATTGTATGTCCATGTTATCTTTTCCATGGGCATGCCCTCATTCCAGCTGCATCCAATGCAGATATGACCAAGGTCCACAGACACTGTATGTGAGTGAGTAAAGTCCAGCTGATCACAGAGCACTAAGTGGAAATTCACCAACTATTTTGACAGCTTTGAAATTCACATGAATGTGTGAAGAGTGAAAACCTCAGCTTGAGCAAAAGAGACCATGTAAGTCAAAGCAGTTTTGACAGTACACTAAGGTATGTCTGAATTTAGACTTTATGCAGACATATTTTGAAACCCTCAGGCAGATAAAAAGGGAACTATGTCTCTTACTTCATCTTAGACTTCATTTATGCAAATATGGATTATGGTTTACTTAATATAAATTCTTGGTTCTACTTATTTTGGATAAACATTGGAAGCTAAGAAAGAAGTCTTGAAATTGGAATTTGTAATCTTTTTTCAGAGTATTCACAAATTCCAATTATCCCTCTGATAACTGCAAATTTTCTAGAAAGTGGAAAACTTTGATGGTTATCAAATGTTTATGATTAATTGATGATAATTAATTAATGATTATTAATACATTATATCTGGTACTGATGTGCCAGCAGCAATCACATTACAGTATAATTTTTTTTTTTTTAATTCTCCTCATCTTACTGCATATGATGCCTGGGGACCATGGTGATAAGAAATGTGAGTAAATTATTCCACAGTGTGGAAAAAATATGAATATAGGCTATAGAAAAATTAGTGCTGGCAGGTGACATTTACCAGACTGTAAAACATTTTGTTCCATTTGCACATTTTGCACTGAAGTTTTGGTCCCAGGACTATGTCCTTTGTTCAAGCTTTTATTGAATATCAGGCAGACAGGTTTTGGCAGAACCAGTGTTACCTACCATTGTGAACCCTGTAGGAAATGAAGTGGAGTGAAACAACTGTATAACTGGGCAAAAAGGCAGGCATTAAGCCATGGAAATTGCATCTTCTCATATGGTGACCAGCCAGGTATGGTTAGTTTGAACATTCTCTTCTTGCATTAAGGAAAGGGAAGCTGCAATTTCTCACTCTGAGCAAACTCCCATTTGTCAGAAGGTAATTCAGTTTTCAGATCATATTTTCAGGTTTCAATGCTTCTGAAGCATATGAAATAATGAATAGTTTGGGAACATGAGTGTACCTAGATGTGCAGCCTATCACTGCCAGCAACATTGGATGAATTCTATTAGCTCAATAATTAGTCTAGATCCACAATAAAAAGTAATCAAAATCATATGGTTAACATATAAGTGTTCTTTGTTTAGTCATTGATTCCTATAGTTGCAACACGACTGAAATCAAAACTGTTAATCAGATAAGACTCAAAACCAATGTAGACAATGTAGACAGTCTTGCAGGATATTTAGAGTTCCAGTTCTGACTTCTCAGCTATTCACTGGAAAAACAACAAAAGATACTATAATATCACCTAATCTCAGTGATTTCTATTGAGTCTAGAAATGTTCTTCATTCAGTAAAATCCCACTTCTTGAAGTCAAGTAGTGAATTACCACAAGCAAATATCTAGTCTTTGAGATTGCATAAAATATAATCAAAAAGGTGAAGTACTCCAAACCAGAGGTGAACATTAAAAGACTCACATTTTTATGCTGTCAGTTGTCAGGTTTTCAGCTAACTTCTCAGCATTTAAATCTATCTTACTACCTTTACTTCTCTTAAATTGGTGGCAGCGTTGGCTCCTCACAGAAGTGAGCCCAGCCACTCTAGTAGGTTCAATTAGTTCTTGGTGAAACCAGTTGGTCTAATGACAACTGGTTTGGAGCCGCTATCCAAACAGCTTTACAGTTTATTTGCCCTTTTCATAAAGGGGAAAGCCAAATCCACCAGAGCAACAGAGACAAAAACATGGCTGGATCCACAAACGGAGTACTGAGCAGCACACATGCTCTTCCTTTCTGGACAGTTGTGAGACTGTGTGGCTCCCAGTGATGTAGAAAAGCCTCTGTGTGCTCATGTGTGGCCAGGCAGGATGTGCTGGCAGCCCACCATGTGGGCAGGCACTGTCGCAGTGCTGCTGTCTCGAACACAGGGCATCTAGGCACGATGTGTGCACCCTTTGCATCACCAGAGGATATGCTGAGCAGGGCAAATTGGCTGTGCTGACAGAGCAGCTCAAAATAGCCACATTCCCCTGGAGGCACGGTTTGTGAAATATAGTCTGGGAAATTCAGTATTTCTGTCAAGCAGTTTCATTTTGTGTCTCCTTGGCATCAGCTTTAATTTCCAAAACATGCAGCTAAGTGGCTGCTAAGTTATTAAAGCTACAGCTAGGAAAGTAGTAAAAAAATTAAGATATCTATTTTGGTGTATATTTAGTGCCCTAAATTCACACACCCAAATCTTGTCACATTTTGTGCCCTAAATTCACACACCCAAATCTTGTCACATTTTTGCAGGATATTTAGGAATCCAAAATGGACATAGGAAGCAGGTGGGTTTCTTGAAGACACCTAAGAGGGTTATGCAACAGACTTTTAACTGAAATGATATGCAATATTCGAAGATAAAAAGACACCTTCTCTTATAGGTAGTGATATCACAGTGAAAACTTCCCAGGTCATGGCTACAGGAAGGTTAAAGCATGGAATAACAAGCATTATATATGAAAAAAAAAGTGGCAGCTGAAAAAATTTAAACTGGAATATGGTGAGACATGGGTAAATAAAGTCATTTTGTGAGACTCTCAAAGTCATTTTGGTGGATACTCCTTTGGCATATAAGATCTGTTCCTATTTCCTTGCCACTCCCAGCCTAGTAAAACAAAATTTTAAGAATTCCACTAAACGCAGTGCCATACTGATCTGGGTTGAATTCAGCATTTAATGGCTCTCCTCAGCTCTCAGCTACCATTCAGACCTAGAAATATCAAATAATAACTACCTTTAGTAAAATTAATCACAAGCATTTGGTTCACTAATGTCTTAGTTTGGCTTCTGGTTGTCCTAGTTACAGAATGAAGTGTATTTTTACATAGGTGCATGATTAGTCTTCGGTGTCTCAATAATTTTCAGTTTTCAGATTGCTCAAAATCAAACTTTCAAGTTGCAACTTCACCATATTTAAAAGCAGAAGGTACAAGAAAGTTATTTTGGAATTTTAACATGATAGTCCTGCTGAATATATTCTAAGTGAATTATTTAGTCAGTTTGATTATGGTGTGACAAATTTTCAAATTCTTAGAACCAAATGTAACTTTAAGTATACTGTAGGGTAGGCAGGTACTTAACCTAGACTTACCCTGCTGAGTTTTTATGAATCAGGTCTGAAGATTTGATTTGAGAGACTGGTGCTAGAGAAGACCTTGGATTGCTGAAGGCTAAATCTTGACTCTGGCACAAGCATTGCATTTACAGGAACTGAGTCTATTGAATTTGACTCATAATAAGATTCATAGAATGGGAAAATAACTTTATATAATGTTTAAATGTGAACAGTACAAACATCCCTTAAAGCATTTCCCAGTACCAAAAGTCAAGGGCATTGCTGCCAGAAATGTGTCTTTATTGTATGTGTATTTTTAAAACTTGATATTTAGAGAAAAACAGTATCTTCCCAATGCCTATCACTTGCTGAAGGCCAAAATGAAGTTATGCTTTGGCAAGTAAATGCAAGTGACATCATTTGCAAAACTGACCACTGACTTCAGAGAGTTTTCACTGCTTACAAGAAGAAAAGATTTTTCAGATATGTCTTTGAACAGTCATGTACATCTTATATTAAGCCTATTAAACACAAGTTATTTGAACTTGTCTAATCAGTATGCAACATCTTGTTTGAGACTGTTAGTTCAAGGACACCTAGATCTTCACCATAAGCGGAGAACTACTCATAAATAACCTTAGCACTGAAATTAAAAAATTGAAGTTACAGTATACTGTTACAATATCATTAGAAAAATCTAAGCACACACCTCGTACACATAGAGATCACACCAAATCTTTGTTAAAGTAAGATACAAATGGTTTGAATAGCATCATATAAGAATTCAAACTTGACGTCAGAAAGATAAAATCCTTTTGATATCAGTGACTGTGAATAATGCTTTTAAAAAACATTTTATGCTAAATTTCTGAGTTGGAATACTAGTTACTGAATTCAGATTCCTTCCATGGTTAACTAGCATAATCCATCTGTAATCCCCATAGTTGTGCTTCTTAGGTAAAATCAGAAATAAGATTTGTAATATTAAATTTCTCAAGAAATTGAGACTGCTGAATTTATTTTTTTATCTGAACAATCACACTTGTTATTTTTCTTTTGGTAAAAACACATGGCACAGAAGATAGTTTTATACTGTCAACAGACTGACTTGAAAAATAGAAATATATACTGTATTTATATATATAATGTGTATATACACTATCAACATTCACATTAGAGAATCTGAACAATTTTGGTGAAATTACTTTTAAGAAAGGTTTCTGATGTGATTTCATGTCACATAAAGCATTGAAAATGTTCAATATGTGGACCATATGAAATGGGGCTTCTTAAATTTAAAACATACTTGTGAAATGTATGTGACTATGTGGGGGTTTTTTAATGTACATTTTCCTTTCAAATCTGCAATTTCTATGAGTTATAGCTTGCAAGTTGCAATAACTAAAAGAGTTATCTGGAGTCAGTGTTTTCTTTCAGCAGGCTGTTGCAGGCAGAGTTCACTCACTGAAGAAACTATAGGCAAATTATTCTCAAGGTGATAGTTGATGAGATGACTTATGCTGTCAAAGACACGATCTTTTGTACGAACCTTCAAAAAAAAGATGCAAGAAGACAGATTAAAGAGTAAGGTACTTTTTTGCTTAACACCAAAATTATCTAAGAATAAAATGACAAAATCATATTTTAGAAACTGGTCTCTCTTCCATCAAAATTGGTGGAAATTTGGCACTTATGCAGTGTGGCTTCTCTTTTCTCTCTCACTCCCCCTATTTTCACCAAATAAATATTTTGCATGCAGTTCCATGGACCAGCCTACTCTTATTACTCTTTCTGAATAGGTCTGCTTGAAAACATCTCTTCATGATTTTGTTTCACTGTAAGTCAGATTTTTCTTCTTCAAAGGACTACCTACTTTGAGATGTTTGTACCTTTTTAATTAGGAAGAGCTATCATGCCAGATATGTCAGAAAACAGCTTCTTCGTACACTTCAGCATTTTTGTGCTTTTCTTCTTCCACTCTCAAAAATTCTCTTCCTAGAAAGTGATCCATCCACCATATGTGCTTAGCTTGGGTTTGTCCTACGATGCACATACATCCCTGTGCCTTCAGAACTGAAACACTTCAGGGCAGGAAAAATCATTTTTCCAACCCACATGCCAGACCTCTGTAGCAGCATCCTGCTGGTATGCAATATTCCACCCATGATAAGAGGAAATTGATATTGCAGGATAAAACAGTCAAAATTATCTGAACCCAAAAACTAATCTATATTACAAAGCAATCTCTAATTATTTAGCCACATATTCACAAAACATTTCCTTCCTATGTTGCAAATGAGTTAGGCATACAACTGCTACAGGCAGAGCACAGATCCACCTCAAGCAAGCATGTTGCACTAAAACTTTGTGTAGGGCTGGCTCTACACCCCTTCAATCAAACGCCTGTGAGCACTGCTCTGAGTAAGAAATGTTGTCTATTTTCCTTTCCTTTCCTATTCTCAGGAAGAGAGAAAAACTTGTGTTAAAACTTTCAAAAGTCATCTTATGCTATGGTGGACACCCCTCCTGAAATAATTCAGTTTCAACATTAAGTTCTGTAAAATTGCTAGAAGTTTAACACAGTATGTCACAGGATTAAAAAAAAAAAGAAAACAAATAACTTTGATGGTATATGATGCTTTCTGGTCAGTCTACACATAGTTATATCACTGAAGGAAACCAAAAGTCTCTCCCACTTTCTGAAGCATTCTGCTTTGAAATGTCACTGTCTCTAAAATTAAACTATAATTTTAAAATGAAAAGATATCTTTAAAAAAGCACTAACTTTACTTATCTGTATTCTGAGATGTTCTCACCATAAGTTAGACACTCTACCATCACCAGAGGTCTAATTCTAAATGTAGAAAAATCCTGCAATCCTCCATTTTAAGCATCCGTTGTCTGAATGAGGGATCTCTTTTTCCTATTTTTACTCTTTTGTTAGCTGGATGAGAGCAGAAGCAACTGGACAGTTAACTCTGTTTTGAGAAACACCCTTAAGACCCGTTACGTGTCACTGGGTACTGTGTGTGAAATTAATTTTCAGGCAGCCTTTGTGTGAATCAGTCTTCAAGAACAATCCCGCTGAGACCATGCAGATGAAATACAAGCCACTGGCACACTGTGGTGGCTGGCCACAGACTGGCATGTTATTGATGATTCTCCACTTTGACAAGTTGCAAATAGGGCTGCTCAGAAGCTGTGTCAAGATCCCACAAATCATACAGACAGCTGTGCTGTCTGTAAGTAACCACAGTTGCATAAAATCATTGTTCTGGAACAGTGCCTCCTGAGCCAGGCATCTCAGAGACATTTGGGCCATGATGATACAAGCAGGCTGAGGGAAGGATAGGTGCAGACAACAAGCAGGTCCCTAACCAAGGAGGTCAGCAAATTAGAGATGCACTAGAGGCAGAGCAGCAAAGATGGGGGAGCCCCTCCAACCTGCACAGGAAAAAAATGCCCTGGAAGTCATCACAGGACCTGACTACTCCAAGCCAGTCCTCACTGCAGCAGAGCTCCCGGTGGGACACAGCATTCCTGCACTTGCCAGGTCTCACAGCAGTGTTTCCCGTGCAGTAGCCTGTAACAGCTGTTTGTGGGTTCATGAGGGAAAGAACTAGGCTACCTTGTTGCACGAGTCACAAAACTTGGCAAATTTTAGCAAACGAGGCTGCACCCCTCAAGAGGCATTAAGCCACTCCCCTGGGCTGGTGTACCCATCAAACACAGGACTAGGCAACTGGCGTCTCAAAAGTGCAAAATCATTCTTTGACTGGCCTCATGTGGCAAATGTAACTAATTGCAACAAGTGCCATGGACGCTCCTCACCACTGCAATAGGGACTCTGCAGGACTGATGTAATCCTGCCACAGCTTTCTCAGCTCAGATGCCAACAGGCCAACTCCTTTATGGGAGTTTCTCACTTACCTTGGGGCTGGTTACCTAAAGCTGTCCTTTATAGAGGAAAAGGAGTTGCCTATTTGCAGCTACCAGGAGTCAGGAATAAAACTCATGACAATGATTTCAATCTCTCTGAAGAGTTTATGCCTCTGCAGAAGCAGGACAGGACAGCTACAGAAAACTAGAGCTCCCTTGCCCCCTCCATCCTGCTGTGGGGACCATCCCTTCATCAGCTGAGGGAGTCTATTTGCAGCAAAGAAATGGAACAGGTTTACCCTGATTCTCTCCTGGGCATACATGCAGAGAAACACAGAGGGCCTGGTCCATATCCCAGATAACAGAGAAGCCAAGTGGGCTAGCCAAACCTCCTTCCTTTAGCAAGAATGCTGAAGTGGCTTAGCTGCACTTTTGACCAAGACCACAGCAGTGGTCAAAGTGTTAACTTGCTTGGGAATCAGGTCCCTAAGGCTCCCTGCAGTGTGCAGAAATCACGTGCTAGGTCTTCTACTAGGCATCAGGGAGGGAATTAGAGATATGACAGCACATCAGAGATATGAGGTGGTGCTTATGGTAAGGTGTGAATAAGCTGTAAAGAAGATTAAAGGCATTTAGAGAAAATGAGTAGAATCAGAAACCTCATCTGTTAGTGATAAGTCAGTGCTTACAGTTCCTTCTGGGTCCACCAAAAGAAGATGCTTGGCTTGTCCTTTGTGCATGCCTGTCAGCACATAAGAGCCAGGATTCGTGGTACTCTTCCTCACAAGGAAATCTCCACATTTCTTTAATAGCTGTTCTGCTTCTTTCCTGCTCATCTCTCCTTGATACCATGGCTCTGTACTCAGCTCCTCAGCTTCAGTCCGGACAGCTGCTCTGGATAAAGGAGGACTGGTGCATCCCATGGAGGTGGATTTCTTCAACATAGCCTCAGATGCTTGATTCTTGAGAGCATCTTCAAATGGTCCTTGTTATGAAAATAGAAACAAGAGAACAAGAGCAGGATCATTCAGATGTAAATCATGTAGCCAAATGGTAATTTTCTGGTCATTTTAAACTGGATTTGTTTTGCATTACAACCACTTCTGTTTATGAAAAAAATAAGGGAAGATACACTAATAGACTTACTGATTTATATAATATATTAAGACTGAGGAGTTTAATGTGTTTAAAATATATATTATGCACAGAATGATACTGATAAAAATCAGGCTGAACCTTGGCAGGATTTTTTGAAAGGTACTGGTTTATTTCACTAGTGGCTATTGTCAACAGCTGTATTTATACAATCTGGTAGCAGGCAAATCTTTCCTTCAGTCTTTCTAGGTATTTCAGACAGTTTAATTTCAAATAAATTACATAATAGGGGTACCTAACATAATTATACTCATATCTGGTCTCTGTTCAAACAAGTCATTCATTTAAAAATTATCCATTACTGAGTCTCCAGCCCAAGGCTATGTCTAGTAAGGAACATTCACCCTCACCACTCAGCCTACTCCTAGCCTCCATCCAGGAAGAGAACTTCACAAAACAGACACAGGTTAACACATTTAACACCATTTGCCTAGTTAAAACCAGCTTTGGGAAAGCATATTGTAAACCTCAGCTAAGTCCTGAACTCAGTGCAACTGTAGAGTTGAGTAGAAAAAAGTGTTATTATGGATCCCAACAGTCTTACAGAAATAGCAAAGAGGATGCATACAGCGCTTTGTTACATGTTGTACTGACCTCTTGGAAGCTATTTGCTATTGCAAGACCTTCATCTGGCCCACCAGTACATATCCAAAAGAAATGTTGTTCTGTGCCCCTAGGCTTACAAAAGGACATCTGGAGAGCAGCACAGTGAAGTGATACACCAGCTCTGAACAGATTGTTCAGATGCAAGGAGTACAAAGCCCTGTTTGCATGGGGCCACAGAGGCTAGTTTAGCTCAAAGAAAAAGGAAAAATATTGTGCTGTCACTGTTTATCGATATCTCAGCCAGCTATTAAAAGTAGCTTACTAATGTCTGCACTATACCACAGTCTGCATAGAGTCCAACATATGTTTATCTCAACAAACTACCATCTTAGGGCTAATTAGCACATTTTCTAATACTACTTTTCTCTGATATTCCAATGGCTGATAACAGCTAACATCCCTGATTTCAAACAGCAGATTTTTTTCCTTTCAGATCTATAATCACAGATAGATACTCTCTCAACTCTCTTCCCTCCTCCTTTCTTTCAATTGAACACCTCACTGAGCTGTAGAAATAGAGCCATATCTCAGCAAAAACATGCCTACACTAAGATAACAGAAATGTAGATACTTTATTTTACAAATAATTTTTTAGGCACCAGCTGCTTTGTCTCACTGCCTTTTAATTATGTGAACTGAATTAAATAAAGCATGGATAAGCAATTTATTTGAGGTAGGAAGAGTAAAAAACCCAAGAAATTTTTCTGTGCATCAAATGCTTTCACTATTTCTTCACCTTATGTATCTTCTCAAGGCTGAAAACAATGTGTATTAGTAGCACCACTACCAAACTATGTCTGACACTTAAGCTGTGGTTTTGCAGCTGTGGTGATGATTGTGATCTAGGAAAAGCTGCCTTCAAAGTTGGAACAGATAGGACAGTAGGCCTATCCAGAGTAAGAGGTAAGTCAGTACTTTAATTTCCATGCTACATTTCTTGTAGCACAAAGCTTTTCCTATATGCATTGACTTCCTCACAATACTCACAGGACAGGCTGAAGACAATTTTCCACCCATCCATACTTTACTTCACATCACCCTCCTTTACTTTCCTGTATGGCAAGCTTCCTGATTAACTTTTCTTCTGACATAATTGCCCATGATATTAAGGACAACATGGACTGCAACTAACCTTAACTCAGATGTTATACAGACTAGCTCCAAGTCTTCAGCCACCCCCATTTTAGTTCAGTCCAATATGAAACCACAATGGATATTAAAATTCACCATAATTACACCAGGAACACTAAATTTCGAAAATTTTGAAAACTTTTTTTTTTTTTTAATCCTGAACTGATGCATAAACATATTTTGTCACTTATTAGAAAGGAAGCAAATAGGAAGGGAACTCACTCATGTCAAACAGATCCTTTCCTGGGCTGCTTGCTTGAGCATCCTCTGCTGTTCCACTGAAGGCACTTTCAGCATCTGCCTGAAGTGCCAATAGATCTTCCCTATTTATATGCTGGGTGTTTACATATATTGGCAGCTCTCCAGTTGGTGCTACTTCTGATTTCTCTTCTGACATACTACAAATATCCAGAGATCCTAGAAAAGTCAAGACTTTTTTTGTGTAATCGACAGAACAGTGTTGACCAATTATCATCACAACACATCACCACAGGTTTAAGATTTCCTGGGAGATATAAAGTCAATAATTGTTGGATCTAGTAGAAAAAGTGTAAATTAATGGATTCAGAACTGTGTTTCAGTGAGGGTATGGTGGGGCTATTTCCCAGAAGGAAAGGAAATCTTTGAAAATAAAGATTGCAAATTTCAAAAATTATATTCTTTTGGGGAGTCATGAGAGAGGGAGAAGGTATAAAATCTTCAAATGTGTACAGATTAACAATAGGGAATATATTCTGGCCTTTGAACGAAAGTGTCCCTAGAAACACAGTAAATTATTACATAAAGCTGGATGGGGTGAAATCTTTATATGTGTTTTGAAATTACTTGAAATTCAAAGACAACAAAGGGAACATTATACACTATTTGCTATTTGTTGAGTAGAGAAAATTGCTTCACATTTTGAATTAAACTTTTCATTTTAGGCTTTTCATTTAAAAATTCTATTTTGCATACCCTAGTGGGTCACATTTTCAGAACAGATCATGCAGGAGACATGGGTTTTAAGATATAGAAAGTTAGAAAGCTGAAAGTCTGGGTAATTCTATTCATTAACTGCTCTACTGAAGAAAATATTTCATGAAGGTCTGCTTTTAATAATTTATCCAGAGGTAATTATCAAATGCTTTTCACTGGTATCAACACTAAAACTCAGACAAAGGGAACCTATCAACCAAGTTCTGTTTATTGCCTTAAGGCTTTGAGGCACCAGACTTTCACATGCTTTGCCCTTCAAGACCACCTGCAGTATTACAGCTAAAAGTAGCAAAACTCACCTTGTTTAACAGGCCCATGATGCCATTCTTCACTGAATTTTTCTCCTAAGTGATGGCTCTGATAATAAATTTGCTCTCCTCCCATTCCTGATGCAGACTAGAATGGACACATGTGCAAGGAATTTTTAAATTGCCTTTAAAATGCTCAGACACATTACAAGTGGCTCTGTCAATTTCTTTGGACGTATTTTGTGTACCCTCACTCTTCCTTTCCAATTCATCATAATTTCAGAATATATATATATCTCAAATACATTTGTTTAAGAGTAAGATATTACCAGTGACCTTCAGGTGTTCTTCCCTGGTTTCTGCTTTTAGTGACCCCCTATGATACCAAATGATGCATAATTTCTTTGGTTTGCACTCAGGTAGTGAGTCAACCTGTAACTGAGAAAAGTGTTCCACAGAAACACATGTGGGACCAGAAGACAGCCCCAACACCATAAGCTGAAAGATTCACGTTGGTACCATGGGATGAGGGGACTTGGGGACTGAGGGGAGCATGTTGGCTACAGACAAGACCCCTCTGGATTTAAGCAAAGTCATGCTGGATCTGAAAACACCTCTTAGGGGTCTACATTGATACTGCAATCAAACTTTCAACAGGAGTGCTGGTAGAAATATTCAAGCTGACCTTAGTTCAACATGAGGTGGAAATCCAACCTAGGAACTTGGCTGAATACTGATCACTCCCAAGTCATTAACATAATGAACTGTTAGTAATGGCTGCACTAGATTGTTTAAATGATTCTGCATTAAATCATTCCCACTTAATGTGCACTATTTGATACTCTCTGAAGCAGGCATGGTTTCTGCAAATGTAGTAGCCCCCAGTGGATTTCTGTTCCTTGAACCCAGTTAATCTTTTAATACCATGAGGATCTCATCTCCTTTAATTTGTTCTGAACCTGCCTAATGTGTTGCCCCCTCAATCTGCAATGGCCATTCAGATGGAAACTGGCCACACAGGAAGGGCTGTGAATTACAGACAGTCCCAAGGTATCCACTATAAAACACATGTCTTTTAAAAATTTTGGATCAATCAGCAGGAGAGTAGAAATGAAATTATACTGACCTGAGCTGTGTCTGCAGCAGTGAGAAGCCTTGTTTTGAGCCTGGCATCAAGGAATCCGCCAGGGGGAGGTATTTTATTTGGGATGTTGTTGTAATAGGGATGCTCTGTTGCCTCGTTATCTTCCTCTGTCCATGGGTCCTCAAAACTCTGCGTCCTAAAAGAAAGAGAGTGCTTTCTTTTGCTTCTTACTTGTAAAGCACTTACAGACACTTTCATCAGGTTAAGACTGCCTGTCAGGGGATCACTACTGCATATCGTAGGGACACTTCAGCTACCATTCTAAGTCAGGAAGCAATGATGGATCATGTGTCAAATCTTCTCTGTTTAGACAAACTGACATAAACCTCCTTTGCAATGTACCAAATTCTTTATGCTGAGAAGAGTGTGTTTGAATTTGGCTTTAAAGACCAATATAAACTGCATTAACAAACAACTTTATCTAATCTTAAAATAGCACTTGTAATACTATGACTTGATTGACTGACTAGGCTCTAAATCTTTGTCTTTAGTTATGACTGCTCTATCACCAATATAATTCTGCAAGAACCTCACAAAATCAAAAGATGTGACTATAGCATGCTTCCAGATTAGGATAGCAGCATTGTATATTCCCAATTTAACCAGTTTTGCTTTGATATAAGAAATTACAGAGGGTAAAAGTTTACTAGGGTTTCTAGTAATGTTAGTAAGCACATAGCAATCCATGTCTCTAAAGAAAACAAAATGCTATATCCCAGCCTTTTGAACATACACAAGGAGAGTTTGTATCCTCCAGATATCAATGCAGTCAAACCTCCCTGCAATACATCACATTCCTAGAAACATCACCCTAATATGAGAAATACTAGAACAACATTAGTCATTTTGGAATCCCAGCAGTCTGACCTACTCCATCTAAACTGACACAGCTGCTGTGACAGTAATGAGGAAATGGCACAAACAACAACAATTCTTGGCCATCCATCTCTGCCTACTAACTACAGCACAAAACACATGATCATTTCAACATCATTGTGAAATCCATATTTAGCCTATCTTAAACTGACTGTACTTCTTCCATGTTCATTAGGTAAACACTGTTACACTGTTTCACTAATACAGAAGAAATAATTTTTAAGTATTCAAGTCCTGTCTGTGCCCAGCAACATTGTCCACATTTTATCAAGTAAATTGAAAGCTAAAGAAGGTCCTTTAGCTGTCTTCTGCAATTGCACTCACCTATCAGATAAAGTAGGTGTCTTAGAGGGGCATTGCAAGTACTGCTTAAATCGAAGCTCGAATGCTTGCCCTATGGTGCTGATGACATCCTGGGCCAGGCCATCACAGCATTCCAGTATATGACAAGCTAAATTAAAAAGGTTGACACATGAAAATCACTGTTTATGTCATGGTGGGATGCAATGACCTATGACAAAACACCTACACTGTCAAGGTTAGTTCCTCTATTAGTGATGTGCACATTTCAATAAACCACAATTTTGATACAGTGAATTTCAGGCAATAACAACTTTTTAAAGGTTACATAAAATTGGACTGATGTTTAACTGCAATAGACAAGGTCCCTAATCTGTTCTGCTATTTTAACAAGCCCACAAACAGAAAAAAAACTCATAAAATTTCACTTGTTATTACCTGAATGCAATAGATTGTGTAAGAATTCTAAGCTTTAAATTGAAATTACACAAATATTAATAGATGGTAATAACAATAAAAGCTTTTTTTTTTGTTTTCCTCAGTTTAATTACTTCACTTTTATGTCTTATCACCCCAAGTTCACAAGCTGCTCTCTTTTTCCAAATTACAGTCTGAGGGAGGAGCAGTGTCCGCAGATACTTCCTAGATAATGAGCCCTGATCTTATTCCAGGAATACAGAGATTAGAGCCTTTTCCTGTTTGTTTGCATGGAGACACTCCCAGCAAACTGCAGGGCTGCTGAGGAGTGCAGAGCCAGCAACCTGATTAGCTCCAGAACTTCCCCATGTGCAACTTCTCTGAACCCACTGTGGCAGTAAAGGGGGAGGATAGTAACACAAACTCTCTTCCTATAAAGACTGAGAAGCCTTTATCAGCTGTCTGAGCAGATATATCTGTCCTGGTTTTAAATCAGAGAATGGCTTGGAGGTCTCATCATTTGTGAAAACGTAAAGAGGTGAACTTGTGGAGTTCCTGCAATTCAACACTGCGGGGACATAGATGGGTGCTAAGAGGTGGAAGCTAAAGATCTCAATGAACAACATCTCAGTGACATCCAGAGAAGCCAAGGTGAGTTAATTTTCCATACTCAGAATTGGACAAGCATATTGTCTACTGGCTAGAGCCTGGACTGGATTTCAAACTGGTTCTTTTCCAAGTCCTGCCACAGGAAAGTGGGTTCTTGCTCAAAGCTACCGATTTGTTCATCCCTGACTGCTTTAATAACCTGAATATAAGCTCCTCAGTTGAAAAACTGCATTTTAGTACATGCCCAGTGTCCAACTCACTGGAACCAAGTGCATTGGATGCCAGTGTCCTACAAATAAGGGTTGGTCGCGACATTTAGCTGAAGTAATACAGGGAGACTAAGTAGGTGTAGATATTAGTTTTTCAGAGGCTGAAATATTGGATAGACTTCTGGAGAGGCCAGAAAAAGGGCCAAGAAACCTGCAGTTGCTCATATGGAATGTCTGCTGTCTCTTCCTCAGCAGCAGCAGCAGCAGCAGCAGCAGCACCTCATTCCACCAAGATGGCACCAGCGACAGTGCCAAGCATATACAGTGGTGTTCTCTTCTCACCTTAGAGCATCTACTGTGCCAGCCATCAAGCTGAAATGCCTCGTCCAGGGAAAATGCCCCTGGCTACATGTTGAAAGTGGATTCAGCAGAAAAAAAAAGGACCTCCATGTGTCCAAAGACAGAGGCAGACATCCCTGACTAGCAGTGAGACATTTGGTTTTTTATGACCTCTGCCACACTGCTATTGGCATTGAACAATCAGCCCCCGTGGAAGGTGCACATTTATCTCTGGAAAAGTGGTCCAAAAGTAGTTAGGCCAAACAAAGCTAAAATGTTTGCACTCCATAACTAGAGTGCAAATTTAAGGAGGCGATATTGCTCACTGCTAAACCTTTCTGGAGCAGAAATGAAGCATGAGTCATTAAGTAGTTTCAGTAGGTGACATAATGAGTAACCTGTTTCCTTGGATACGTGAATGGACTTTCAGCAGGTAGGAGATACGCTTCTTGTAAAAGGATGAGAAGGTTTGGCTCACACAGAGATGATTTCTTGTGAATGTTACAGCAGAAAATAGACAGCCTTGAGCTTGCTAGATCCAGAATGCAAAGCACGAAGATAGCTTTTCCATCCTTGTGAAGAAATGAGTCTAATATGCAAGCTATACTACAGCATTGGTGATAGGGTAGCATCAGTAACAGCAGCAGTAACATTTTCACCAGACACAGAGGTAAAGACAAATCCCCTTTTAAAGTAATTTGCAGACAACACAAAGAATGAAAGAATGGCAAGTGATGGTAAAAGAGGGCAATTCAGATCCCTTGGTAAATTAGACCCTTTTAAAGAATGTGTTTTAATACAGGTGACATACAAAGTCACTGATGTGCAAAGCACTGATGTATACAGACGAGTGGGGAAAAGCACCCATAGGAAAGCCATAATGCTGAAGGCTTAAAGATCACAGCATGAAAGAATTTCACATGAGGTAACAGTGCTTCACTGCAGCAAAAAAAGGGCTTAGAAGGAACCAGCTGATGAAGAGGACAAAAGGAAGAAAAAATAGGAAGGTGCATTCTGTGCTTTCGTGACAGCCCCTATTATGCAGCTAACATATACATTTTTAAAAGAGCTGCAGGAAAATGAAGGAAGGAGGTACAGAAATTATCTGAAGGATGGAGGATGTGCACTGCAGCTGGAATGCTACACAGTCAATCTTTTTATAAAGAAAACTAAGAAATTACTTGACCTGAATAAACGAAAGGAAGACAACAATATCAGGTGCTCAGATGATGTCTCAGTTTAGGATAGCCTAGCTCAACAAGGAACAGTCAAAGGAAGCTAAGGATTTAAGATAGAAGGAACATAGTACAGGAAGACCATAGTGCAGGAGGAACATGACAGAAGACAGAGCACAGGGCTCCTCCAAACCCTACAGAGAAAATATTTGGTCTACAGTGCTAGTCCCTACACTGACTGGGATCTCTCAGAACAGCTAAATCAGGCTTGGATTTAGAGGAAAGCTACTGCTAAAGCAGGTGGGCTGGAGAGCAGCTCTGCACCATGCATTCCATAGTCTGACATTGGAGCCTCTCCAACAGGATATTGTAATGAACAAGCATTGCAAAGAACTGGACTATTCCTTTCCTCCAATTCTGTTTAAGTTCTCTAGGTATTTCACTTACGTTCAGCATATTAGTATGCTTAGGGCAGGTATTATTTATGAGCCAATACCCTCAAGTCTGGATATCTCTGCACATGGACACAGCAGATTCTACAGGTATCATTAAAGATGACTACATAAGGAAGCTACTGGGTCAGTTGTGCTGATGGTGGACAGTTGAGGATTTGCAGGATTAGCATTTTGGAGTTAAAGTGTCTGAATTCTCCAGAAAGAAGAAGTACCTCCTGTTGGAAGTACTTAACATCTTTTCTTTTTTTTGGAGATAGTCCGTTCTTCTCTCTCTATGATCTATGAATAGTAAAACAGATTCTCAGGTACATTACAAAATGCTTTGTAGGTTGCATTAAGACCTAGTGAACACAATCAACAAGCAGGGCCCTGTCCATGACTGATTGCTACTAAAGCAATACAATCTTGAATAAAACTTTACTGAGAAAGAGAATTACAGCAAGCTGGCTGTAAAGCTAGTTATTTGATAAAGAATCTGATTCTGCCAGGAAGACTTAGGCATGTACTGGGAAGACCTAACAGATACAGCTGCCTCATCAGATGACTTAATCAGAAGACTGCTCAGCTCTTGCACAGTGATTGGGTGTAGGTAAGACTTGGCTGTTGCCTAGAAGCTTACACAGCCAAGTAAGGCAAGTGTTTGATTTCAGAGATGAAGAGAATCAAAGTGTTATTTGTATGTTATTTGTAATCTGTATGAACTAGAGGCAAGACCTATTTATTGCAAGCTTGAGAAACAAACTGCTGCTTCTTATTGCTACACAATCTTTCCATGGCTCTGTCAAAGGCCATCCTTTGATTGGGCTACATTCCACATTCATGTTTTTCAGGAGGGGAGGGGGTGTTATCTGACTTAAAGCATGAATAACTAGTGTTTCTCAAAGGAAATACAGACATCAAATAGATATTTATAACTTACCTCTACGATTAACAGGATCCTTAGCTACATATGCAATATAGTCTGAAGTATCCTGTCAAAAAATTAAGATATCTACAATGAATGCAAAAGCATATTTGCACTGATTACAGCAAAAGATCACAGTCCAGAGTATGTACAGTCCTTTGTGCAGAGCCCCAAATGAATATTTTGCTCTACAGATGCATACTACTTAAATCCCATATAAAAGTTTATGGGTTTTGGTACTCATTTCCTTTTACCGCTTTCTTTTTTACAGAATGTGATCCAATCCAGCAGAATTTTAAAAATCTCTTCTATCAATCAAACAAACTCAGTAGGATTTGGCCCAGGCCTCATTTAGGAGGGAATAGAATTACAAGTCCTTATCTTCAAACTACCCAGCGATTTTGGTTCATAACATGAATAATCATCTGGTTCTGTGGGAGTAACAGCTCTGGTCCTCAGAAATACTGAGCAATGGCATTAATTCATGTGTGACAAGCAGGTGTTTACTTTACTGACTTCGTGCCATATGGCACAGAGGTGCTCAGCCAGTGCTTGGCTCTGACAGGCAGTATCCCTGCACGCCCTCTCCCAGCCCTTAGGCTGCTCCCTGCCACACCTGTTGCCACATGCCTGGTGGATTTTCTGGCAAGAGCACACAGACATCTTCTTGTGGGATTTTTTGCTTCCTCTCCTGACACTCCTATGGTCCTGTGCACAAATGGTGCAGACTTCTACTATTATGCAGATTAAACAGAAAGGCCTGGGTTTCTGGGAAACACTTAGGCCTGCTGATATATCTGAAAAATGCCATGTTGCCTTGATGTAATCAGGAAGTCCTGGTTAGATCTGGTATTTCCTGACTATGCCTGGCTAGTCAGGTAGGCTAAACCCAAGGGATATACAGGATACATTACAGCTGACTGTGTACCCAAAGCCTTTTCAGGTGACTGATCCAAAATCATTGCCAATTATGACAAGATCTAACATCATAATAAACATCAATCTTCAATTAAAAGATAGACATCTTCAGCACAGCTTTTTCTAGTGCAAGCACAAAACCACCACCAGCCACCCAAAACAAATCACTGTACTGAATGTCTACATAATTTCCTTCCTAAGGAGGGAGCAAGGGAAAGGATGAAGCATAGTCATGGGCTCTGGTGACAGATGTGTAACCACGTCAGTTAATGCATCGTTGGAAGGCACTCAGACACAGCAGCAGCGAGGCTGGTCTGTTAAAAAAGCACAGCTCTACCATTTTGTCTCGTAATTTCTTATACATCCTGTGGCACAGTGTCTGGGCAGTGACCACAGTGGAAATAAGGATGCATATCAACAAGTAAGGGGAAAACAAAGGTGACTATGTCTATAGTAGCAAATAATACAGAACCCTTGTCTCACTGTACTAGTTTCTCACATGCCCTGAAACTCTCTGAGGGACCAGCACATGCTTGGCATCAATCCCAAGAGACCACTATGAGGGAAGAGAGTGAATGTGTGGGTGCAAATTGCGCTGTGTTATTTATTTCAGGGCCAGAAAGACTAGAAAATGGGCCACAGATCAATTTATTTACTACTTCAGGCATAGCTAATGGATACATTTATGCCTGAGTAAATCATAGATCTATCTCATAGCTAGTGTGGGTGTGACAGTCTGAAAACACCTACTCCTTATTTCATTTAAAGCTCTGAGATTCAAGCTGACTGTGACAAACCATTAAGGACCTAAGGTAGGCACATTTCAGTGTGGCTAAGTTAGAAGACCCTCATCCAAAAACTATACAGGACTTGGCAGATGCAGGAAAGTGATCCTTGACATTCAAGAACTGAAAACAAGTATGAATGAGCTATAATTTTCAGCCTGAAGACATTACATTGCAGTGTTAAAATTTGGAAGTATTGCTGAAATTGAAAAACTACTGCCTTCAGGGACCTCTGAGAGACCTGCCTTATTAGACTTTATGGCATCCTCCACTCCAAAATTTCAGCAGATATCTCCAAAAAACAGAGGTCTTCTCTGGCAGCCTGGAAACAGCCACCTGAAATTACTGTGGAGAAAAATTGTTTAGAGTATCATAGGAGGGGCTGAATAGAGCTAAAGTGGATTGAGAGCACAGCCTTGGAAGTGAAATAAAATGGTTCTGAAATGGCACGTAAAAGGATTTGGTACAGAGGTTTTTAAGCTCCCATATTCTGACACAGCCAGAAACTGACTCATTGCAAAGGGAAATATTGCAGAAGAATATATTCAAGCCATTCTCCAGGACTGTGGAACACTTCTCCACGGGTTGTATTTTGAATAATATAATTAATAATAAGGGAGTGGGAGGAAGGTGGTAGAGCTAACTGCTATGACAAATGGGAGGCAGATATCCAGAGCAGAAAGGTTGACGGGGTAGAGAAGTGATAGTCTCACCTCCTAGTAAACCAAACTCCAAAATAACTTCAAAATGAGGGAATCACTTCCTGAAGAAACATGGGCACATATCTAGTTTCCTAGGTCACCATGGCCTTTCTCCAACCTGTTTAAAAGTCATATAAGGAGATACATTTATGGTCTGGAGGCCAGCTGTGCTTGGGAGACGCAGTTTGGTGGTGACAGTCCACTACCAAGTAGAAATCATTAAGGGCTGATGAAAGTTATGTCTAGATGGCTCTCTGATGAGTAAATAAATCTGTGAGCTAAATCACATCCTTGCATTTTGTCATCTTTGACATGCACCCAGGACAAAGGAACTAGCTGCTTTTTGCACAAACTTTTGAGTTAAAGTTGTTCCTTACTAGACCAGAGATAAGCTTGTAAAAAACATTAGATACTCATACCTATTTTCTTCATCCCAACACCAGAATGAATTCATGCAGTAGTCTTATTGGGAACACAAATTCATAATTTCACTGTACCTTGTAGGCTCCCTTGCACCATGCAATTTTATTTCTCTGGTAGCTCACTGACTCAGTAGTGAGATTTTTATCTCTTTAAAACATTTGGAAGAGCTTGTTTACTCCAAATCCAGAACTCTACTGCTGTTCCTCTCCTCTTTCCTGGTAAATCATTTCATCAGTGGGCAGTGTGAAATGGTGTTTCCAGGACCTAGCATTTGGGATGGCAGATGGGTAGCAAAGAATCTTCTTATGGAGGCAGGGAACTGTGCTAATCACTCCTCTGCCCACTTCAGGAATTGTTCATTTACAGCATCCATTGCAATCTGTTGTGTTTCCAAGCTGCTGTTGATCCATTTTTTGTTCCCCAAATTATTGTGATATTGTGTTCTTTTCCCTTCTGCAATTGTACTGAGCTCAGTGAAGCTACACTAAGACTAGAATTTGTCTTTATGCTTTCTGACAAAAACACAATGAACAGAGAAAGCACCAAGCACCTTCACCTTAACTGAGTTAACTGAGAGAATTAACTCACAAAGCAGGCTAGAAATTGCCTTACTTGTAGTACATGACTGATATATGACAGATAATCACATGATGGAGAAAAAGGTACTCATTCAATTAATCTAAGTTTAAAAGCTTTCAAACCTCTTAGGTAAGAGCTCTGTCACTAATTTATATTTTCCCCATTGCTTCCTGAATGACAAATACTTTTGAAGCCCATTTATTAATATACCTTTGGATGAACAGGTTATAAAAATAAGGAAAAGCACAATAAGCAGGAATCTGCCCTTTGATCCACATTTATAAAATTTGTAGGTGTATCGAAAAGCTTTGCAAAACAGAAGAGAAAGATCTGTGCTTTTCCTGAAAGCCTGCCTTCAACCTGCATGACTGTAGCAAATATACCTGCAGGCAGAATTTAGCACAGTCTTCTCAATTCACACTTGCAGTTGAAAAGAAAATAAAAAAGAAAGAAAAGCACACATTACTACAAATACTACAAATATAGCTGCAACATATTCTACTACTGTAAAAAGTGCAAGATAAATAACAGGATATAAATCCATACAATGCCATATAACTATTCTACATTACTCTGAAAAACAAAGCCCTGTTTATCAGTTACTATATGAATGCTTACAGCCCCTTGATAGTTTTTGTTACAGTCATCCAAAGGGGGGGATGCATGAACGCTTGTCAGCCATTCCCCTCAAACAGAGCTTGATCGCAACAATCAAGAAAAATTTATGAAAGAAGAAACAGGAGTTGAGTTGTGGTTGTATTTTTCTTTTAGTAAGATGTGCTTTAAATTTTGTCACACGGCCCTCGTAAAGCAGTTTCTGTGTGGGAGAAGGCTTTACAGAAATGCTTACCGGATCACCTCCAGACGCAAAGGAGATGGATTGCATATGGTGATTTGCTATGATCTGTATGGATCAGAAAGAATAAGTGTGAGTCAGATGGGTTTCTTACAGTTTGCAATTCTGATTTCAGTTTTTTGCTTGTATGCTGGTGAAAATCCAAAATCAAGATCAAAATTACCTACAGGGACTTCAAAGAGCAGCATGATAATATAAACAAACTTAAGGATAAATGTTTCTGTTCCGGTGTTCTTTAAAATATATCAGGATACTGCAAGATTGCTAAATGTACTCAGAACTCTAGTAAATCATACAGACCTGTCAGAAAGTGTCTTTGGAGAAATTTTAATCTGCTAAAACTCACTTTCTTTATTACAGATAATGATGAATGAAACAAAAGGTCCTATTCATCAAACCATTTTTCTGCTGATGCCACTCTGGTGAAATCAATGAAACCATGCCAACTCTACACCAGCTAAGATTCCTAACATTGCATCCAATACCTACTGTGTCATTTTATGTTTCAAATATCAACATGTTTACAATATGCAAGCAGAATTTTGAATCTAGCTGCAGCGTAGTATTGTGGACAAATTCACAGGCACACTCCAGGGTATTTGAAATTCAAATTGCTTATGTACAATTTGAATTAATATGATATTTCTCTGGGAAAAGACAATTTGTCCTGAACCTCTAATAAAAGCAGAACATCTCTGCTATTCTGAGAATCAATGTACAAAATCTTTTAATAATGAAATAATGTAACAACCAAGAAAGAAAAGGTCATTTGAAAGAAATTTTCACTTGATATTTGAGTCACAGAAGCCATGCCAAGGGATTCATCTGGGATGGGACAGGCTGCTGTTAAGTGCCTCAGAGCATCTGACAATAAGAATTAAGATCTTGGTTCTTCACTTTGGAGAGGGAGCCACACACAACAAACCATTCTGGAAAAAACAAAATAGGGTAGAAAACTATTCTCTGTGCTGTTTTCCCTAACCTGCTTCTTAAAGACATGAACTATCAACTGCCTTCCTTGGAAAGAAAAAAATTTGACAGAACTTCCTCTGAATCTTGCTGCTTCACTAAGTCAGAGAGAGGTGACTACTATTTGTAGTGTTTCTTTCATGTAAAGAGCACTTCATTTTCAATAGCCCTGCTTGTCCCACAACATCCTCCAAAGATGTGGTTAGTTTTTAAGAGTACACTTGTAAATTAGTGTTCTGCTACTCAGCAGTGAGGATTTCCTTCTCTTAAAGAAGTAAAAATTGAATATATAGTACATAGAATATATATAGAATGTAGATTATCCCAACAATAGAACTAAAGTAGTGAAGTTCTGTTACGCAATTTCATATTATCATTATCTTGACAAGTGCAAATAACCTAATCTTCTATTTTAGCATGTAAAAAAAAATTACTTCAGACTGTCGCTAAACTATTTTTTTCCAAATTTTAAGGAAGCTGAAAAGTGTTTGAAAACATTAGTTCAAGTCAGGCATTTTTTTGAATGCCACAGCTAATTTAGTTTGAAGTTGGGGTATTCCCCACCTCATCTCTACCAATATCAAAATACTGAAAAGAGATACAGCAAACTATCAATGCCTTGCATTGTTTAAAATAAAGCAATTCACTAATGTTGGCATACAGCTCAGAAGCCTTTTAATCTACGCCAACCTTCATTTAAAAGAAATAAGCAAAACAAAATCATGTTCCACTCATCCCTGCTCAATATGTTCACAGAACTGTTGTGCAGAGGTACATGGAGTTGCTTTCCTTCTACCACAAGGGCCAACAACCCTGGCTTGTCTTTTCTTTCCTTTCAGATCTGCCAGGAAAAAGACCCTATTACAGAAGTTTGCAGCTATCCTCCTGTATGGAGCCTCAAAGGGCAAAGCTGCTGGGCCATGCTTATCTGCAAAGCAAATCCTTGGCATAAACAAGAAAAAGGGGAGGCCACAGCCAGATCAGGGATCTCCGAGAAACCAGACATTTCTCAGGCCTGCAGCACCCAGAAGTGTCTACCTCAAAAAGAATGATATAAAAGGAAGATGAACAGTTTTGTCAATTCAGAGAAAAGGCAAAACATGTAGGGGATGACTCTTTGAAATAAATGAGTTTAACTACATTTCTGTCCTAGCATTGGCTGAAGACAAGCTGACTTTCAGTGTTTGGCACTTCCTTGGTGGAGCTAATTAACATCACGTTCTTATGCTTCTGAGGGGAGTAATTGTCCTTATGAGAAGCACTGCTGTTCATATTCCATAGTAAGGCTACAGACTACTGCAGCCAGTCACGCCCCTGCTCCCCCAGTCTCAATGCTCACTGCAGAGGATCGTGATGTTTTCTAAATAAGGATAAGAATGAAGATATACGAATGAAAACATAGTAATGAACAGCAAGCTTTTTAATAAATGGTATACATATTCTTTCTTACTTTTTAACCCTGAGGCCCTGAAGGCATCGGTAGGAATTTTACTTCTTTTCTCTCTGTATCTGGGCAGAAAGTTGCATGCCCTAATGCAATATGTGGCTCACAGCAAATAGCACAGCAGTGGCTACGCATGTCTGTCTGCTTCCTTTTTATATATACCCTGAGCAAGGATTTTTCTCATCTCATACATCATTCACAAACCACTGCAGTGATTCCCCAAATTCTGTCTGTACCTTCAGCACAGTGAAGAAGAAGAAATGAGCTACTTTAAAAAGGCTGCCTTGTCTCTCTAAAAGACTGGCCTTTCACTGCAGTGCAAAATCCCTGAGGCTGTATTTTTGGCAGCACCTCAGGAACAGTTTGCCCTTTAGGACTCTAAATGAGAAGAAAACAACAAAATTGGGGACATACATTCAGTGTTTTAGTTGTTGCTCCAAGCACACCCCTTTTATGACTCTGAAAGTTTGTAATTTTATTCAATAAGAACTCCCACAACCAGATAATGGTATTTCACATCACAGGTCTTTTAATATCAAAACCCATCTACCTGAAACATGGCAAGAAGAAAATAATTTATCAAAACTGTGTTGAATAGTGAAATAAGCTGACTTCCACTATGATTATATTTTGAGTTCATTCATTTTATGACACTATTGAGGAATAATTTTGAGCAACTGAGTACTTGGCAGACAGCAAATAATTGTGCAGCAGGCTGTTCATCAAAAGCCTCACAAGTTAATACAGAAGTTACACTCACCTGTTTTGTATCTGGATTCATTAGATTTAAGCTGCTGGTGGAGATATTCAACATTATGCTCATTCCTGCAAACTGAAGATTGCTCTTTCCCAAGATGCTAGAAAGGACTTTGCTTGGTGGCTGTGAGGAGGGGGGGAAAAAGCAGATTTTTGTTCTTTGATTTTTTTTTTTGAATGACCTTCATTGTATGCAGGGTTAGTGGTGACCTTAAAGGCTTCTAAAAAATTTATGACTTTTCAAAGATCATTAATTTGCAACAGCTGTTTTCCTCTGGAAATTATTTCTCATTTATACCACAACTACTACTACTACTACTACAACTACTACTAATAATAAAAATAATAATAATAAATAATAATAATAGTGATACTAGCCAAACAGTTCTTCATATACTCTTCACCAAAAAGAAAAAATAGCGGTTTTGTGAGACAGCACTAGTGTCATCATCACCAAGGGACCAAGTAAGCAGACTAAGATGAATGCCTTCAGTCAGTATCTTAAAACAAAAATGTGCTTGTTCTATAAAAATATATTCAACTCTTGAAATTTACTGTTTGCTCTACATCTACTGACTGTTCTACCCCCTTGCAACATGGAAAGTGGGACTCCAGTGATAGCGATGGAAGGCTCACAAAATGGGATACAGAGTATTATGGACTGGATGACCTCTAAAGGTCCCTTCCAACCTCAAACCATTCTATGACTTTGCTTGTAGACTTAAGAGTAGGTTAAAGCCAGATATAGACAAATAAAACCTCTTTGTGCTGGGGTAAAATATGCATCTAAACATTATCAGAGAATAAGTCTATGAATGTAAATACAGGGGATGTAATAGTATTGATAACTTTTATAGGCATTTCACCAGCTCTTCGGAGGTATTGCAGCAATAGAAATTATGCTGTCAAATCAAAATTCATAAATTTCTCACCTTTGACAGCTATGGGGGACCACATAGCTGTGTGAGAGCAGTCACATTCAAGTAACCACAGCCTGTAAAAAACAAGGCTGCCCAGCAGTCACAGACCGAGCCCTTTAACTTGCTCTATTTGCACTGGTGAATATTCGTGCTGGTCATTAGTATATAAACACAAAGTGACTGGAGACAGTGCTCATCTGCCACTATGTTTGCACTTGTTCTGAGCTGCCTGCAAGCATAGATGGTATTGTTCCTAGCAGTCTGGACACACTTGAGCTTCTGCAGTCCTGAAAGTTTACATGCATTTAATTTAATCATCTTTCCCTTCTGTTTAAGTGATTAAAAATACACTACGTACGTACTGCTCCTATGTAATATGTGCTTCACTATTTCAACTCTTTCATGTTACAGAGCTAGTACTTCATTAAGTTCTCTTTTGAACAAACTCTTTTTGAGTATCTCTGTATCTCCTCTTTCCTTAATCCTTCATGATTCCCAAGTCATGCCTAAGGATTACAACCCATAGTGCAGGTAAAGTGTGAAAATTTGGCTTCAGGAAGTACATGTCACCTTAACCAAATTGATATGCCATTAGTGGGAGAAGCATGATGAATGTACAGACCAGCAAAAGACACATGTCTTTGATATTTATCTGAAATTCTGTTGCTCTTTTCAACAACTTACAAGCAACATTACCTTTAAAATCTGTAATACAGCAAGGTGTCTCACTAGTTACTTGGAACTCTGTTTAACTTATTTTTTTCAGCTGTATTTTGTGTCATTATGCTTTCCAAGAAGAAAGATAATTTTGTCTTTACTTTCAAATTTAAAATGAAATGCCAGAGAACCAAGAAATGCCAATGAGATAAATTTGGTGGAGGTGAAACTATAGCCTAATTTCTGACACAATTTCCAATCACACTGTGACACCTGTCACATATGACTGATTTTACCAGGGTATGATTCTCCATTGCAAACAAGTGGCATTTCATGGTATTCCTTTCTGCTGATATTCTGCCTACATGGTGGAGCAGCTGGGGAAGCAGGGAGACCTTTTCCTTCACCTGCATATTCTCCTCCTCTGCCCAAGAACACACACAAGGGCCATAATTAACTACTTTCTATGTTTCTTCCCTTAGAGATAGCACCACATCCCAGCTTTGCTCGCAGGTCTCTGGAAGAGACTGTTGAGAGCCATCAGTGCAGGAGCTGAGCCAAGGCTTACTCCTCTCCCTCTATGAAGACTAACTCCCAGCACACAAATAAAAATAAAAGCAAGGTAGTAATGATGTCAGGTACACACTGGACTCACCATCAGCACTGGACACTGAGCATCAGCCACCGGTGTTTATGGAAAAAGCAGAGGTAACAAAGGATCACCTCATATGCTCTTTCCATTTCCAGAAATCAGTGATAAACAAACTCTTTAAATGCCATCAGTATATCTATCTTTCAAGAACAAATCTAGTCACTTTCAAAACTATGTATGTTTTGAGCTTCTGCTGTATCTTCCAGCACCTATTTCCATAATTTACTCATGCATTTTATGGAAAGGCATCCCATTTGTTGGTTTTAACTCTTCCACCTACAATCTACAAAAGAAAGAAAGTAAAAGGAGGAGGTTTCTATGGAAGGAACACAAAGGCACAATCTTCATCCTAGATGTACTTATATTTCCAGATGCGTACAAAAGCAGATCCTGACCAAAAGGGCAAGTGACAACATACAGTGAGTAAAAACAGCCAGTACTCTAAATGATTAATCAACTGCAATTCTCAAAGCTGCCTTAAAGTCACCTGCCTGCTGTGCCAGTCTCCACTGTGCTGTACAGAGAAAATACAGTCAACTGCACTACAAAAAAAAAAAATACCTTTCGTTTCTTGAAGGCTCTTTTGGCACCAGGCATGGCTTCACAAACACGACTGATTGCTTCCCTGAAGAGACAGAAAAAAGCTTTATGGCAAAAGAATGTGTGGGTTTCTTCATTACGCTTGAAATGCACTGGAGAGAACAGTTTCAACTGTATTTCTGTGCACAAGTGAAGATAGTTAGCAGGTCAGTTAGCTTTCCTCTAAAAAAGAGAATGTTTCTTCACACTATTAAAAAGACCTTTTCTCACTGTAAATTAGAATATTGCTCATAATACCATCCTTCCAGTCTCACTTTTGTACATTGGTTAACACCTTTAAAAAAAAAATGTTTCTTTTAATGTGAGAGTTAGAAAGCATAATCTTTCTTACTACTATAGTATGCACTTTTCCAGTCAGAGCAAAACCACCAGGATTTAGACAGTATCAGAACCCTTGGTAATATGGACATTCTATACAGTACATGGGATGTACATTTTAATTTATACTATTTCAAAACAGTCTGAGTAGTTTATTAGTGGCCTTACATTACAGGGAATATCATTGCCTGAAACAATAATTTATTTCAGTTTTTTAACATTGCTTCATTCTTCCCATCACACTCAGGTTGACTGAAAGAAATGCATATCCAACGTGGATTTGAATCTTTACCCTTTCATAGAAGAGTAACTCTACATCACAAAAACTCTTGAAATCATACTGCTCCAAACAAATCTTACAGTTCCTTTCAGTATTTGGCAACTAATTATCTGAATGGTTAATCTGGTCAGTGTTTAGAATTTGCTCCTGTACACACACAGGCCTTCCCTCTGACCACTAGGCACAGGACTTGAATAGGCTTGTCCCACTGCAAGACAGAATGGTTTCACAGGAGCGAGCAAAGGTGACTCCCAACCTTGTTTAACTATTTCTTATATGTATTGAGACTAACAGCAGATTATATTTAGAGCCAAAACCATGCAAATAACAAATATTTTAAGCAAAAACCCCCAAAATTCAAAACCAAACCAACCAACCAACGAAACCAGAAAACAAAAGAATGGGAAACAATGAACTACAAGATAAAGAACAGCCAAAATAATCAAAACCTTGAAACATCATCTAGATAAAGACATAAATGATATTAACTTTATGCCATGCGCTGTATATTCCAACTCTGCACAGGATCAACAACTGAGTCAGGAGAAAAATGCCATACACATAAATCAGCATTCAACTTGTAATGGCTTAGCAAACATGACAGATTATATCAGGTGGCTATCAGTAACTGACATACAGTCATGCCTTGTGCGCTTTTAGCTTGGGCCCAGTTCAAAGTTGGAATCACCTGGAAGAATCACATTTTATTGGTTTGGGGAGATGAGTGGCTGGGGGAATGGAACACACCTTGAAGCAGGTTTACAGTCCTGCCATTCTGAAGAAGTGTGAGATTTATAGCAAGAGATGGTTAAAAAATCTTTCAAGCACACTATCTTTTCTTCAGGTCTAGAGAAGAGGTGGTTTGTTCCGTAACTTGTCCTATGCCTTTTTTTCCCCCACCTACATCTGTTTATCTAATAAAATTGCCTCTCACTACAAACCCTGCCTTGCATATGCACTCAGACCATTATAGCTACAATACCCCATTTCACGGTTCAGCACCTGTATTTAGCTCCCACCTTCACCACATTTTTTTTACTCCAAACAAGTGTTTTAGTTAAAGTAATTACTACATTTTCTTACAGGGCAAGTAAAAAGCAGTTGGTTTAAAAGAACATGTCTGACGCATCTTGGAAATAAAGCACAGCAGGCATCAGACAGTGATCACCATAATACTGAGACAAGGATAACTCCTGAAAATGTAACCAGGGAAAAGTAAATAGTACACCTCTCAAAAGAAAAATTCACTAAAAATGCTTTTCTTTGGCTCATGAAAAACAAGCAGACATCATCTTTTACAGAGTCATCCTCACTGGCTACAGAGCTAAAACTTGTGGTTTCCCATCTCTTTCTTCTGCTGAAGCAAATCCTTTGGAGGTAATAGAATGGGAAGTTCAGGCCAGTGGCAGTCTCCAACCCACTTCAGTCTTTCAGACCCATGCCTCTTGCTTCACCAGGTGTGTCTTAGTTTCCCAGGCATTTTGACTGCAAGCTGCTCTCACAGAGACATCACCAACACTTGTCACCTCTTTGTCTATTCCAGTGGTTCAGCTGGTACATTGAGATACCTTGTAGGTTTTGCCTCTCACAAAAAGGACTTGGATTCCTGAGATATGTGCTTGAGGGATTAGTTATTAAATTAGTCTATCATTTCCTTTCTCTTCCTATTTGCCCACATCATCTTCTCTCTGTAGTGGCAGCACAGAACTTAGAGAAAGACAAAGGGATTTTCAGGCCACTGCACCCAACAAAAACACATATGCAATCTTGTTTTTCTAGGGCAGGGTTGGGTCTTGTAGCAGTACCTCTCCTATCTGCCAGCACTGATAACCAGACATTAATTGTGCTACTGAATAGATTCATCTGATTCAAGGACCTTGTTGATCGAAACTGCCACTTGAGATAGGAGTGGAAATAACTAGGTGAAAAAGGTGAAACCCAGGGCAAGGCAGACTTGACTTCTCCTTGCATGCCCTGTCTTGGCAGAGCAGAGAAGACTTTAAAAAAACCCCTAACAAACAAAGAAAACCAACCAACCAACCAAAAAAAACCCCAACCCAACAAAAACCCCCCATAAACAAAAAGAAACCCCAACTGGGCTACGTGTCTTCTCACTCCATAAAAAAGCACTCTTCAGTTTCCTCCTATCTGTCTTCCTTTTGGTAAAATATCTTGGTTTTACAGAACTCAGTGTTCCCAAAGGCTATGGGAAGACTGGGAGTCTTTGGGTTTTAAACCTCTGTGAATACTAAATCTATTCAAGCAACTGCAGGGTTCAAGTTAACAATGCTTTTAGTAAAAATGCTGGGAACTTCAGAAAACATATTCATAGAGCAATTCTGTGTAATCAAGGTCAGAGTGTCCTGGCAGCAACTCTTTGCATGCCTGCAACAGAAGGCACAGTACTTTTCCTGTGTGGGAGTTAAGGAGTCTAGAAGCAGTATTTGAAGAAAATAAAAAGAATAAGGACAACTAAACATCTGTCACTGCACTAAATATGTATTTTATCCAAGGGCCACCAAGACACTTAGAGGAATGGAGCACTTTTTCCATGATAAGAGGCTAAGAGAATTGGGGTTCCTCAGCCTTGAGAAGTGAAGGCTTTAGGGTGAATTAACAGCTGTCTTCCAGCAGCTGAAGGGAGACTACAAGAAAGGTGAACAGAGACTTTTTAGAAGAGCATTTAGTGATAAGATGATGGGAATGGCTTCAAACTGAAATGGTAGGTTGAGACAAGATATTAGGAGGAAATTCTCCACTGTGAGGGAGGTGATGCACTGGAACAGGTTTTCCAGAAAAACTGTGGGTGCCCCAGCCCTGGAAGTGTTCAGGACCAGGTTGCATGGGGCTGCGAGCAACCTGGTCCAGTGACAGGTATCCCTGCCCATGGCAGGGGATTGGAAATGAATGGTCTTTACAGTCCCCTCCAACCCAAACCATTCTATGATTCTGTGACAGTTCCCCAACCAGATAGCCAGATTGATGATGAATAGCCAGGTGATGTTGAAAGGATGGCCTAAAGACTTCTTTTTAGCTTGCACTGCTAGGAAGGACAGGGTAGATGTAACCATTTTTTGTCAGCAAATCAAATTTGGAAATGCCTCAGCAGCACAAACACCTGATATACAAATCAAGCCCAGAAACGGGTATTGCCACCAGGCTGATCGTGCCATCACCTGACTTGTGCATGGAAACCCTTGCCTAAGGAAGGCAAAACCAAAAGTTCTGTATATATCTGCATATATATCTGGCTAGATATTGCACAATTTGGGAAAGCTGGATGTGATTACAATTGTTTCCTTTCTAATAGGAAAATTATTTGACATAGACAGATATTACACCTTTCTAAGCCACATTCTGCTTAATTAGCTAGGCTCAGATAAAAATCAGTGTAGAGTTATGCTGATCCCTTGTAAAATTAGTTATTGTGCCGTCTGCAGTAAGGACCACATGCTGAGTTCCAAATCTGCCCAAGAGTATTTTCTGCTTTGCAGATGGTCATACTGTGGAGTCATTTTCTTGGCACAAAACATGTTGCATATTTTGAATATAATTTCAGCATTCAAGTGCATTCAGTAAAAAATCACCAATATTCATTTTCTGAGATTGACATATACTGCTTTAAAGTGGCTTGACATCTGAGAAAGAGGAAAGAACATTTTACATTGCCATTTAGTTCCATTAAAAAGGCTAATGCCCTGGTATCGTTCATAGCTTCAGTGATATTTTATTCTGTTATACATAGTCCACTCAGGAAGTTCAAATGTGTTCCTCTATGAAACATCATCACATGAAAATACTCTCCATTTTTTGATTGTGCTGTTCCTGTTCTTAATTAATGTTATTTAATTGATTAAACCCCAGAATTCTGGAACTCGTATTTCAGGAAAATTACATACACATAGAAAAACCACAGATTTTCTCAGCATATTTGAAAAAAGTAAAACCATCTCAAATAATGAGATGAGAAAATGTGACTACATTTTAGTATGAAATGTTTTGTTTCAAAATATTTAAAACCTACTAATACTCTATTTTTAAGATATTCTAGTGCCCTGTAGTTCCCAAGTTTACTTCTCCCCACCTCAAAAGCTTAGGACTTCACAGGTTGAAAAACAGACAGCAAAAGACTGACTTTTTAAATGGAAGAACTGTTCAGAAGGTTCACAGTTATTTCTTAAAAGTACTAAGTTCCTGCCAATTTTAATCATTACTAAATATTGTACCAGTATTTGCTGAGGAGAAACAAAGTCTGTTCTAAATTTAAAAATAACTTGCTTCTGAGAAAATTAAAAAAAAAAAAAGAAACAGAGACCAAAAATACATTTTTAGAAGTCTGTTTAATAATTGAAATACTTCTTGTTCATTTGCAAAACAGGCAAAACGAGCATGCGCTGTCTGAAGTAGCACAGGGGACATTGACAACATCCAAAGACTAAACCAGTTTGACAGCAGATTGACCATGTCTGAGGGGTGCAAGGCAGAACAAGTAGCTAAGGAGAACGAATCAACAGTATGGAAAGAAAGGGGAGGCTAACTGTGGCGAAGATGCACCTACTGCCACGCATCCAGAGTACCATGCAGCAGCACCCCTGAGGGGAAACCCCCACAGAAACTGGAGCAGAGACCAAACGATGCCATTTGTTACCATCCTGACCAAAGTGAAGCCTGTCTTCATGGAAAACCTGAAAGAAAACTTTTGTGGAATAAGGTGACATCAAGCAGATGTATTGCGCAAGCTGGTGTCACTTGTAGAGCATGGAGACGACTCTTCTTTTTCTTTTTGTCAGCTACCCATTCTTTTTCTTCACATGGAGTTTTCTCACATGTAGAAAATCTAAAAGCAGAAAATGAAAGGAAGCTGGCCAACTTAATTTTTGCTTTACTGAATAAATTTATACACTCAGGTGGTTGGCTTTGAATACCACATGTCATTAGATATGTAGTTTGCAATCTATCTAATGATAGTTACTCTTATGCTCCTGCATCTTCAGTGTGAGACTTTCATTAATCTCCTAAGAGAAAGCAATGCAGTTTGAAGGACTCTTTTGATTTCACTGGCAAAGAAACTCTTTATCCATTGGTATGCTCAGTGCTCTGTTCTCGGTATTTACAGATGACCTAACTTGTTAAGGAATATTTGATACAACTTTAAAATTTATACCTTCTTCCATAACATGCAAGTAAGTTTCAGAAAACCCAGTCTCATTCATCAGGAACATAGAAATCTACCTGATCTTGATGATTTCTTCTAACACAACAGTTCTGAACAATGGTCCTATTTAAGAAATGTAGAGTGAGACTTGTTTATCCTACTGGCACGCCTTAACTATATCTCTTAGCATGCCTACAGAGCTTTGATGAACATAAAGTAAGGGTATATGAAATCTTGGTTTTGAATGTACAGCTACAAAACCTTCCTTATAGACAGCCCTCTAACTGTCAAGAATATAGTCAATGACACCAAAAGCATCTAAAAAACAGTTCTTTAAGGTTTACATCTGCTAAGTAGCTCAATCCCTTAATATCTTTTATGACCTTCAGGCTTTTTTCCACTCAGCCTGGTCTCTAGCTACTTATCATAGTCCTGGAGAGAAAAATTAAAATTGTTTTCTGTTGCTTAATCAGGATCCTAGTAATCTCCAAACTGGGCCGAGCCTCAGTTCATTTACTAAAGTATTTTCTCTCAAAGAGAGATATTAGCAGATATTTCAAAGGCAGACACAGGAAACTTCACAGAAGTAGAGTGAAAACATTTAATCTAACAATATTTTTCTCTAATGCCTGACTTCATGTCCAAAGCAGGACTTTGGATAGGTATCTTACAAAAGCTCTGTGTAAGACAGATGACACTTTATAAATATCTGGGCTGTGTTTGCCAAAAAGGACTGTTCAGCATTGATGAACTGTCTGGTGTGACTGGACATATCATGTGAACAACACACAAATTCTTCATGTCATCAATTATTTGTGTAATCAAGCTGCCAGGTGCTGTTAGCAGAACTTGAGTGTTTTGCTTTCCAGATTTCTGTCAGTTGTTAACTTTGTACTGTAATTTGCATTTAAAATGTCTTAAGACTACTCCGCTTCAGGTCATGCTTCTGCAGACCCATGTGGAGTCACTATCTTTCTGAAAATCCAGGACACAGTGATATCCGTAACTGCTTCCCTGACTATTTGGCTTCCAACTTTCTACCTTCCCCATCCTCCGAGAGGTTCTTTGTTTACTTTAAAAGGCACGTGGACTGGGGGAGCTCAGTTAATCGCTCTCATTCTGGCTTTGCATTACCATGTATTAGTAAAATTATTCCAAATATTAGGCAACAATTTCCAACTAATACCACATTGAAAAGGAAAGATTCCAGTCTTAGGCATACAAAAACATATTCTACCACATGTCTGTGCTAATAACAGCTTAACTAGCAATTGTAAATTATTCCCAATCTATCAGGCACTATAGTTGTCATTGTCCCACTCAGAGGTATGCTGTATGAATTATAAGGATGTCTCCATCCACTTTTGAGACTCCTGCTTCCTAGTGAACCAAGTAGCAGCTCATGCTTCCCACAGCTTTGACTCTGAAGTAGCTCTGCCCACCTCTTCCTGCAACTGCAAATGGTCTATGTGTTCTGCCATCTCCTAACACCACCGCACAGACAGAGTTCTCATGGAAGAAAGCAGAGATAAAACACACTCACCTCTAAGCATGACAGCATGTTAAGGAGGACACTGAATGCAGAATTCACTGCAGATAACAGATTACCTTTCAGCCTTCAAGAATCACAGGAGACACATTCTTGCTTTTCAATGTCTTCCACCCTTTCTTTCAGTGATGCTTGCTGACAATTTCTGCAAACAACACAGATACAGGTGAAACACTACATCAATTAAACTGTTTCATATTGTTTAGCATTGGACTCAAATACAACTCTAACATTTGGGTTTTTACCATCTCTTCTCCAGGGATATTGGCATAAATGAATTTGGTTTAATAATTTTATGAATAAAGTTCAGGCCTCAAATTTGGAGAGGAATACTTTTCAAGCTGTTTGTTCCAATAGAGTTAATGTAGTTACTGAGATCAGAGTTTGGATTTGGGTCCACGGCTGATATGAGGTATTTCCATCCTCTGACCTACTGCTATTAAAACAACGTGCAACGTAATATTTTACTCAGCATGGGGCGGTGTGACTTCATGATGCTGCATGCAGTAAATGGATTTTGTTCAATTAAATGCCAGTGAACATGCATCCTCATAGTTCAGACTCAGATGTACAACAAACAGTGCATGCAATATCTAATTCAAACCAGTGCATAAGTCACTCATGCACACCATGACAGTGAGGTGCATTAAAAAGTGAGGACACATTATTCTACTATAGCTTTAACAATAACCAAACAAACATATTACATGAACTGCAAACACGGCACATATTGCAAAAGAATTTTACCTGATTGTTAAGATTTTTTTTACAAAAAGCCTGAAGGCATAAAGAGCCTGGCCACAGAAGCTTAAGAGTGGCCCCTTTCTATGACGATGATGGTAGGTTTCAGATGAACTTTAACCACTTGCCACCCGTGGTTAGCTCAGTAGTCTTGTCTGCTGTTCCCCCACTACGTTGAAAATTAAATGCTTTTGTCTTGCTGCCCAAGAAAGTCATCTTGACTTCACATGTGTTACAAGAATTATCACTGGGTAATCAAAGATGCAACACGTGAATTCAGCTGGCTTTCATTTATCATTATGTGTAATGACTGACCGTTGTCTGGCGCATCCTCTTATTTGCTCAAAGATTCACATGACATTACATTCATTAAAGGAAAGAATAAATACAATACAACTAATTAATACTACTCTAGTTCTTCTATTTCCCCTGTAAGGAGAGAATCTTGAGACTTGAGAATATGTGTAATGATAAAGGCAAAAAACTGTTAGAAATTTTACATAACTGTTCATTTTTCCTTCAACTCAAAATTAGGGCAGTAATATCACTGCAAGGTGCCACCAAGGTTATTAAGATCTGATGAAGAGTATGCCAAGTGAAAGTGTTTGCTCACTGCTCTCACATGAAGATAAATGTATTGCTGCAAGTTTTAACATTATATTGTACAAAAAATGAAACGGCAAAACAAATACAAGTTACAGGATAGGATAGGTAAGACAGCATTAGATGGCACAAGTCAATATTTTACAGGACTGCAATAAGGAAGGAAAGGCTGCTGACCAAAGTATTTACTCTGGGGCTTTGATGCAGCTTGTGAAATTGAAGCCAAAGTTCTTCATTTGTCAGATACATCCATGCATGCACACTGATGTATATACTTTCCTAATGCATTATAACAGCTGTGATTTCAAAGCCATTCCAATTATCTACACAACCTTTTCACATGAATTTCTTACCTCTAATTCACCAGATAAGTGGAAATCTCTGTCCAATTTTTAAGTAATTTCCAAGTGCTCACTCAACAATTTAAGTGCCATTTACAAGCACTAATTCATTTAATCACAGAGTTGTCTGTGACTGGGACTAAGAGTTTTTCTAAAATAACACCAGGAGTTTTCAAGCAGAGCAGGAGACTACATGTCTTACCCTCCCATTACTGAGCCCCACAATTTTTTTCTTCTAGGAACTGATGCTGCTTATTTAACTTTTGGGGATTTGCTCATCCTCAAAGCTGACAGACAAATAAAGTGATATATGCAAAAACTTGAAGGCAGAAAACAAGCAAATTTAGGATTCCTAATAACTGACTTCCTGTGTTTAAGCTCTGCAACATGGAGAAAAACTAAGGTTAACAAAAGAGGCAGGGACAGGCATGTGATGCAGTGCTAGAAAGGGAGTAAGTGCTTTCTATGTGTCAAAGATGATGCCTACTTATTAGGAAGAAATGCATCCAAGCTTTCACAATAAATCAAGTAACTTGATTCATTTTTTTCTACTTTTTTTAATACTGCATAATGCCAGAAGTCATATCAGTCCAAGACAGATCACTTTCTTCTATAACTGGTTTTGAAAGGTCTTGAAAAAATAACAGATCCAACAGGTGTGATGCATGCAGTAGGATCAATTTATAAAGTTGTGGGTCAGAAAGGGATCACAGCTGCTGTGACATCTATTTCTCTGGAGAGAGGAAATAGCACAGAGGGGTTTACACAGAGAAGCTTTTACTTCAGCTATGGACCCTGGCTCCTTGGCTGATGCAGTCACAGCTAACACTACAGACCTAAGCCTTGGCCACACCACATCAGGAGCCATCAGGTGATGGCAAGCTGCAGAGAAATCAGCAATGGACATACCTAAAAATATATGTATGATGTAGTAGACATAAATGTAACTTTCAGGTGCTTTTATTTTATTTGCAATCAAAGGGCTGCACAGATGATTTGGTACCAGGTGCCTTCTTAAGAGGGAATTGGTGCCTGTAATATCAGAACATCAGTCTTATTAATTCAGTACATACCTTGAAGCCTATGTTATGTTTCTTAAAACACACCAGAAAATTAAATAGCATGTGTGAATTCTGGCAATTCCTTAATATTTTCTTAATAAAAAAAAGGTTTTTATGTGAAATGCTACATAGCAAAGCACATAAGCACTGAAAACCTAGGACATGACAAGGGGATTTCCAGAGCCAGATGAATTAATGAAATGCAGATTAAAATCCTAGGTCCCAACTCGAAAGCTACCTAAAAACCTAAAAATTTTAGATCAGGAACTACATTACAAAAATGATGGGATTTCATTGTTTAATGATAAATAGAAAACCGTGAATGCAAAATAAAAAGTGAGCCGGAAAGATATGGCTTCCTGCTTGAAAAAAAATATTCTAGATATAATTAGAGGAAGGTGAAATAACAAAATGATTTCATGTAGTGATATATGCTATAACTTCAACAGAAAAAAAAATACAATTCCAAATTTGTTTCACAGTAGAAGCCAATAAACTTTTTTATTGGAGGAACTACAAGGCAAATACATTTTGTATACATAGACCAGATTGCTTCAGATCACCAAATATGCTTATGTATGCATGTCAGAGTAGTGCCTTTAAGCTAGAAAGTAAGAAAAGTACAACATTATTACAATGAAGGCATACAGTGAAGGAAACTGCAGAAAAATTAAGATGAATTCACTTCCAGATATAGAAAACAAGCCAAATAATTATCACAACTGTTTCACAAGCCAGTATCACTGAATTTCCAAGTGGTAAACATGAATGTACCACCTGTATTAGAACTACAAGTCTGCTTAGATATTAAATAATTTTCAGAGGTCACTGCTGAAATACATCAGAAACGTACATGATACATTTTTAAAAGTACAGTAGTAAAATTGCATTGTTTGAAAAACAGGATTCTGTCATTTACCTGTCCTTTGGTTTCTATGCCTCTCATCAGTGTAGTATGTTGACAAATTAATGATTAACTTTTTGTGAGGACTTACATGACCCAATTCAAAGCTGCTGTATGCAGGTGTAACTCAAAGTCAATGCATATAGACCATATGATTAGCATCCAAAACTAAAACCAAGTTATTTTTCTCATTTAATAAAAGAAATATTTAGCTGTTTATGGTATATGACAGATTTATTTATTGCCAACTCTAAGATGCCTCAAAGGGTGGAAATACAAGCACTGTATCCAGCCATATCACTTTATATGTGTTTCTTTGAAAAGGATTTCTTTTATCATTTCAATTCCAAAATCTGAAAAAGTGGTTTCCAGTTACTAGAAGACATCAATGCTACATTCCTCTGAAATCAATGACTCAGCTTTTCAAGTGAAAATACCTGCAAAACATCATTCCTGTAGTTCTCGGAAAATATTCTTCATAGGGAAAAAAAATCATGGGCATTTTTACTTCTTTAGTCTTGTACTTATATGTTGCTCTTACAAAAATACCATTACACATTTAGAGGAACTGTCATAAGAACCTAATACAAGCTTATTGTTTCTTACAGGCAGTCTGAAAAAGAAATCATTCTTCTTTTTTTTTGTCTCTGATATCATTGTGGTGATATATTTTCCTTTATATTCTTTGTGCAGATAGTTTATAATCTGAAAACTTTTCATAAGAAATTACTATAAAACCCATAAACATGGGCTCCAAACCAGCTCCCTAGATTAATCTTGAGATCATAGATTTTAAGCATATTCTAATTCTTACTGGCTTAAATGCCATTAAATTGGTACCCAGATAAGTGCCTTACTTGGCATAATGAACAGGCAAAAATTTTCTAAAGTAGCTCCTGGCACATCAAAAATCCACAGAGAAAATAGCTTTTAAGGCCTGCTGAAACTGTATTAATACCACATGAGAGATTTACATGTAAAAGCAAAATTTAAAAGTGAACTTATGGTATCCAAAAATCCTTTACCATGTGTTTTGCCATCTTTCTGACCTTTTCACTCTGGGGACACAATTCAGAAGTTACTTTAAAAAACATAGTTGTGCGAAATCTTACCTTGCAACCTGCATTCTAGTACTGAAGTCAAGAGATCTCATTGACCGTAAGACTTCTATACAGCCCAAGTACTGTAAGGAAAAAGAAACAGTTGGAAAATGTATTATAATTAGGCTTGAGTTCTGGGAGAAAGTGCAACTCACCATTAAAAGGCAATGTGCAATTTTTAGTTTTTCATTTGATTTATCCTATGCATAAAGTAGGTTGTTGAGATTATGCTGTTCTATGTCACAGATTTCTTCCATAAACATTTTGTTTTATTTAAGTGTCACATTTCATTCAACATATAGTTTTATGTTTAACCTGGTCACTGTAATACACTCAATTTATTATTTGTTGTTGTGCTTTTTTTTGTCTTCTTCTATCTTAATTGGTCCGCTTTAGGTACAATCAAAGTAAAAAATAATGTTAATGAGAAAGGAAGTGTGGTAAAGGACATTTATCTGGTATTGGTTAATAGGACAAAGTTATTTAAAAGGGAGAGAACTAAGTCTCATTAGAACAAAAAAGGCAACTTATAACAGGGAAAGCTGAAAAGAACACCAGCAACCAAATTTCTTAATAAACACTTCAGGGATAGGTGTGATTTAGTATTTTTATTTATTATAGTAGTAAAAAGGTGGAAAATGCTAACACAATATACTAATAACCTATGGTGGGAAATGGCTTTAACAGGGTCATTCAAGAAAGGAATGACATGAAGGTTAGCTAATATTAAGACAACATCCGACTTTTTGACCAAGATTTCTGCCCTGCATCTCTGTGGAAAAAAGGGAGTACCATTATAAAAGATGTTAAAATTCAACAGCATCTATCACTAGGAGTGAGAAAAAACTTGGGTGAATCTTCTAGATTTGCTTCCAAAAGTGGGCATAACTTGCATATGCTAAAGCCTACTGGAGCTAAAGCTCTTGTCAGATACTTGGATGGTGCCTTTGCAGAAACTGCCTCATGACTGGCAAAACCCATGTATCTTTGCATGTAGGTTAAGTATTTAGCCATACACTGGACTTTTGAAAGTCTGGGGAATTGTGGAGGAGTCTTTACATCATGAGTCTGATAATGATGATCATGATGCTATTGTAGCACTGTGTTTTTATATCAGTTCTTATATCAGTTTTATATCAGTTTTTCTATCTTGACAGCATAATACAATCTATTGGGATGAAACTGGTGCAAAAATCAAGTGAGGCCACGATTTTTCATGCTTGGGATTTTTATTTTTGCAGAATAGATACTCTTTTAAATAGAGAATGACTGGATCAGTAACTGTAATATGTAGAATTTCAGTTAAGATTTTCCATAGAAACATGTATGTCATAAAATGTTTACAGCTGAAGGAATATCTAGTTTGTTTTCACATATCCACTATTACTTAATTTATTTCTATCAAATGCTATGAAATCAACACAACATTGAATAAAATTAGCTAGAATATCAACTGGCTCTTATACATTAAATTGTTTGAACTTGCATTATTATAGCACACAGTTTCTGAGAAAGGTTATCTCAAGATCCATTTCCTAGAATATTTTAGAAATCTGCAAATCTATGTTTTTTGAAAAATTGTCTTGTCTAAAGAGATCCTAGAACATGGAGCTTTCAAGCTAAAGATCATACTTTCAAACTGTCATCTATCAGTGCAAAATTAGACAATCCTTGTATCTTACTACAAATAAATTCCTTTTTTTACATATACTTCTGCCTGAGTACTTAAAACATATACAACTACATTTTCATGCTCTGATGAAGGAAGTTAAGCCATTAAGTCTATTTTTAATTATCTCAGAGGGTGATTTCATTTTCTTGGAGATTAAATTCTTTAGCAGTACTTGAGATAATCAGCTGGAATAATTTAATTTATGCCAATAAACAGCAATGATCAATATTTTCCTGTTTTCTTTCTGTGACATTTTGTTTTAGTCCAGGATGCTTTAATAATTCATTTTGTCCCATTATTTATTTCATATGAGATGCTTTTGTAATTAAATATGCTATAAATGGTATGACTATTCAAAGGTATCCCTGTGATTTTTTTGTTAAAGAAATTTCATTATTTCATCAACCTGTTAGTTTAGATCTCTCAATACTAAAACACTCTTGGATTGCACTTGTTCCTTCACTTACCTATATTTGCCACAAGTCTTTCAAAACAAAGTAATTGCATGAGTTTGAGAACCAGGTCCAGCATTTTGGAAGCAAACTCTGGAAGGTATTTTGACAAGTACATGCAGGCGTGCAAATAAATACACAAAAACATGTGCACACAAGCCACTGCCAAAATAAACAGACGAATAAGTAGACAAAAACCCATAAACATACTTAGAAGACGTGCATTCAGACCCCCTTTGAGTCACACTACCTGATCTGCATCAACAAAAATAGAGACAAGATCAGACTGAAGGAAGGTCAGATGGAAAAATTACCCTGTACTTGTTTTATGTATATACAAAGACAGCTAAACACAACATAGTAAGGCTTGCAGTATTCCTGACTGACCAATGCAAAGATGGCAACTGATTTGCTGGGATAAAAGATGTGAACATTTAATCACCATGGCATGTTTTCAAGTAACGAAATTACTATAAAAACTGACATTCAAAAGGTCCAAAGGCCAACTACAGGGACATATAACTCACCTACTGCTATGCTTCAATTATTCCCCAAGACCAACACTGCTGTCTAAAAATATCCATTTGAAGTACAACCTGACAAGGATCCACAGAAAGAAGACATACAACCAAGATAGCAAGGAAATAAATTATTCATTTATTTCAACAAATAAATACCCTGATTAAAAAGAAACACTATCTTTTGCTTTAGGCATTCCATGAAACATTTAAAATATAGTTATAAAACAGTCTACTTCTAAAAAAAGCTCCTCTTCACCCAGCACTTAATGTATATTCTAACCAATCAGCTACTGTGCACTGTGAAATTTATGAGCTCCTGCTATCATCCTCCTTCTCATTGCTCAGGAACCAAATATATCGAGATGTAGCCCACCTTGAAGTAGGAGGATTTGGGACTACCAGTTCCAAGCTTTCTCAGAAAACATTCTGCTTTCTGTTGGCTTTCTAATATTTGAATGGGTTTCCAGCTTGTGTACACTGAAAGGTACTATGTCCCAAGGAAAAAAAATCTTTCATATGAATGAATACCTTCCCATTCAGAGGTTTTAGATTCATAACTTGCACTTTGCATGCTAAACAGTACCTTGCAGGAAGCAGAGTGCCACATACTGGTGGTACCATGTAGCTCTCGTTCCATGTGGTTCCAATATCCTCATTAGTTACAATTTTGACAGGTTAGTGTAAGAGAAGGCTATATATCTCAGATTTCTGGTTTGTCCCACATGCAAAGACTTGTTCTGTACTCCCTAAAGTACCTGTCTTCTTCAGAAAATTGCTGTATGGCAACTAAAATTTTTAACTGAAGCCTGTGTAAAAGAAGATATTGAGATCTCTCAACACCTCTCAGAAACAGACACGAACGCTGAGTGCATTTGTGTACTTGGAGCCAAGAGAAAAAAAGAAAGAAAAGAAAAGAAGAGAAAAAAAGAAAGAAAAGAGAGTAGTCACTGTCAGAGAAATCCTTTGCTCCAGAAATATGAACAACCTTGTTTGGTGCTTCCTAACAAGCTCTTCAAAATACAAGAAATTCTCCATTGTAGGACTGAGAAGCTGGCAGTAACAACAGCAAGAAATACTTTTATAAAAATGTAGCAAGACTTATTTTATTATTCCATCAGGATGTAGCTCCATACAGCACTGAAGCAGTTCAACCTACATACATGTCTAGCAGATGAGTGTCTGCCTTGTGCATAGCATATCTACGCTCTCAAATAAAATAAGAATTCCTAACCTCTGAATCCAAACTACCTGAGTATCATTAGCTCATCAAAACTGCATGGGTATTCTTAGTAAATTGAGATTTACTGGTTTTAATCTGTGTTACCAGATGACCACCATGAGATCTGAGTGTTTCACTACTTTGCAGCTTGTACCTACCTTGTACAAGTCACGTAAGAGATAACAGGGTTACATCAGCAAACAGACATACAATTTTATTACAAGACAAAAATTAGCCTGTGCCTTCAAATATTGACGTATCCAAAGTATGCTCTAACATTGCACAGCTGCAGATAATAGCCTGGGGGCTCAAAAATTAGATTCTGATTCCTGAGGTTCTGGGTGCTGTATGGAGATCTAAGTTTCAAAAATAGAAATAAAATAAGCTGGGCAATTCACTGCAATTTTCTCACCCACGGGCTTAGGCTCTGCTTTTACTTGGCATGTGCAAAAGGGAAAAAGTGAGTATCTTTTTACTTGCCACATCTGGTTCTCATGTGTATCTCAAGTCATACGCCTACATTTTCTTTCTTTTCATTTCTTAAAGTATGAGGGAATTCGTTTGCTTGGTTTTGAGGGTTTTATTGTTTTACATTTTATTCTCATTCACCAAAGAGCTAGTCCAGAATTACATTATGCATGGAAGTAAACAAGTAGTTAGTATGAATCGACTAGTGCTAGTTAACTATGGTTGAGGACTCCCTTATTTAAAAATAATAGCTTTTATTTCAGGTTCCATTGCTACTAGTCCAATACACATTTATTTATGCATCAAAATGATAGCTGCCTCAAATTTCAGGTATCACTACTCACGGCTAAAGGAGCTTGTGAAATGTGCACTGGGAGTTCCTCAATGTACCACAAAACTGAAAAATTACTTTCAGGTTTGCTATCTACCCTAAATCATATTAAGATTCAAATCCAGATGCCCACTAACAAACAGGCCATAGTACAAAAATAATGACAGCCCAGGACTTCATTTCAAGATTGTAAGTTTGTCCACATGAAACTGGATACAGACAGGATTTTTAGTAACAATACTGATGTGTGAAAAGGAGAAGAGGGAAAAAAAAGAAAAGAAAAAAACCAAGACAAAAGCAGCCCAAGGAAAAAGCAGCCCAAGCTATAGCCAGAGACTGCAAGATTGATAAGTATTTTACAAAATGAATTTTTCTCTTCAGCAAATTAATATGAAACTCTATCCTTCAATCCCTTTGATA